AACTACTCTCTTGCTGCATCATCCTCGTGGATGCGAATGTATCTCACGGATGGCAGGCACGTTAATTGAAACTGCAGCTTCTGCAGTCCACGAGTTGAAATGGAAATAGAAATGGGCATCATTCATCATGCAAACGAACAATCAAAGAGATGACGACGGACGGACGGGTTGGGTTATCCAGTGATAAGTGACTCTAAAGAAAGAAATTCAATCAACAGGCTGACCCACTTCGCGATTGGCACTTTTCAGCAGAACGAAAGGTTAAGAGTTCAAATGCGAAACGTTTTGATTAAACCAGTGAAGCAGTGTGGGTGGGAGAGGTATCCCATCTAATGGGATATATTTACCCGATTTTGAAAGGCCTCATGTGAGGTATATGCACATAAATTAGCATTTCCCCATCCCTGATTTCTAATTATAGCAAATTTGTTAGGTTGGACAGGTGGGCGGTGCAAGAGATTTAACGGAGGTGGATGCAAAGTATCTTTAATGTGTTTAAAATGTCATAATTTATCCGAGGGTTTCCCTCCCCTTATTCTGACACTAGAAAGACCTTCTTCTAAGGTAATGTTGTAATGAAAGATATTCAGATTTAAAGGGATTTAGGATTGGTTCGTACTTGTTGTATTCTCTTTTTTACATATATAGTAATTACATTGTAATCTTACCTTCTTCCTATAGTTATCCATTCATAAAAAAGGATTTGGTTCGTTGTTCGATGAGTTTCGTTTTCGTTTTGCTAGGGGACTATAGCTATTCTACCAGTTCCGTTGTTTCGTTGTTTCGGTCGTCCTCTCTCACTCGCACTTTAACCGCTATGTTGGCTTTACCCTAACCCTTACCCTCCTCCTCCTCCTCCTCGAGTAACTGATGCTGCTACCGTTAGTTTTTCGTATTTTTCTTGTTATTGCAGTCGTTGTTGTTGATATTTCCTTTGTTTCTGAGGAAAGCAGACGCAACAGCGACGACGACGCTTTCCTGCAGGACGCTTTCCCAGCATTTTGTGGGGTCACCTGCAAGTGAGTTTTCCTAAGGAATTTTCTTATATCCTTGATACCGCCTTCTGCTTTTTCTTCTTGCTCTTCGATTTCTCACTGGGTTAACTGTCTTGTAGCGGCATTTTAACTGTTGTTGTTGTAGCTCTCGATGTATTTAATGACTTTCCGATTTCCTGATTTCTTTCACTGTAACAATTCCTTACTTTCTTTTTCTTCTTTTCTTCGATGTTCTTGCTCTCGTTCTCCTCCCCTTTTCTTCTTGTTGTTGCTGTTTTGTAAATGGACGTTTTGTTGTTGTTGCTTGGCTTAATTTTGATATGTGTGTGTTGTTGTGTTTTAATCCTTGTTTGTTTTGTGGCCTTTCTTCGTTGTTCTTTCGTATTTATTTATTGTTAAACTGTGAGCTTGGTTAACTTAACTTCCTGCTCTTATTGTAATTGTATTTTGTCTGTCCTTTTGGGCTGCTGCTGCTTCTTCTTTCCCATTTCGCTTTTCCTTGCTTTCTCTTCTTCTTCTTCGCCAGTCAGCTGTCATCGAGAGAGAGAGAGGGAGAGAGTGCGGCGAAGAAAGTTATTTCGCCCTCTCTGTGCGCAAACTCTCTGATGTTCGTGTTGTACAATGCATTGCAAATAATGTCCTATAATCGACGACGTTTATCAATTTGTCCTGTCATCGCCATTAAAAAAATCACACACACACAGAATCGGAAATAACGAGATTTCTATGATTCTTATTTTGTATTGGCCTTTAATTCACTGCATTTTACACTCTCAGGTCACTTTTTACGGTTATGTACTCATGTGTGTGTGTGTGTGTGAGGCGCATTGGGCGCGCGTTTTGTACCGTTATTTCGTTGAACAAGCGATGACTTCACCGCTTTTTATCATGGGGATAACTTTACCTATTTATCAGCCCACCTTGGTTATTTCGTTGCAAATTGGGCACTATTTTTAGGAGGCCAGAAAATAAAACAAAAACCCACAAATTTCGACAGATCCGCGCAGCTACAAGTCTTCTTTTGCACAACTTTTACGCTCTGCCCCTTTGTTACGCTGTTTCTTTTTTTTTGTTCTCTGTGTTCCATTCAGGTTTTGCGTTTTTTTTAGTTCGCCCGTGTTGTTGTTTCTTTGGGGTTGTTTTCTCTTACCAAGTCTCGCTCTCTCTTTCGGTTTCTCTCTCTCAAGCTTTGCAACCCCCAGAATTTACAGTTCTAGCGCCAGTTATCCCAAATACAGTTTGAGAGCGGTTTTAGTTGTTTTTGTTGTTTGTTTTGCTTGGTTTTCCTTCCTTCGTTGCCGACTTTCCGGCGCTTTTCGGCACTTTCCAACACTGTGCCATGTGCCATGTGCTCCGCACAAAAAAACACCCAACTCCTTTGGAAATTCCTCCTAATTGGCCGCGTTGAGGCATTCCAAAGTGTTCTCATGTTTATACTTCCTCCTTTTAATGCATAATTAATGCGATAGGGGGCTAAATTAAGGGGTTGGCAAACCCTTTTTCCTGGGGCGACAGCTTGTCCTGACTTTGCAAGCGAGTGGGTGGCATTTTTACCTCTGACCTTGACTGGTGATGGGTTTGAATAACCATACGAGGATAGCTAACAGGAGGTGTACATACCCACTCTTAATAGAAATTTGTTTTCTATATATGACATATATTTATTCTTATTCTTAAAATAATAATACATAATCCTTTTCTTTGTATTATTATTATTTTGATATTTGCTTAATAATATCAGAGAACCAATTTAAATAACATAGTTTAATTGTGTTTTAAAGTGGGTTTAAACTTTAAAAGGTTCACAAATGGAGAATAATATCGTCTTCTAATTGTTCTCCGAGTGATAAGATAGTATTTTTGATTATGTTCTATCATTCTGAGGTTCCTTAGGTTTGATTGATAACCAATCCATTGATCATCTGGGGAAGTTATATTATGCCACCCCTATAAGGTTGCGTAATGTTCACAGTTTTTCACTTTCCACCCACTTTCTGGACACCCAACAAAGGCCGCTCGTAATAATATTTATTTCTTTATTCGCCAACAGTAAAAAAACCTTAACTGGCTACTAACTAATACTAAATTAAATACTAAGTGAGGCAAAATAATTATACAAGTTTTTCTTGATTAAATCTCTGGGGGAGCATGGATCCAACCGCATGTGAGATGGCAACTTATTATAAAAATGCAGGGCTCTACACAACGGCTCATTGTGGGCATAATTGGCTCTGTAAGCCGGTACAAAAAATGGTTCAAACGTTCTTAACGATCTACCAGGCACCGATAACCCTATGCTGCCCAGCAGTGCGGGGCAGTCGATTTCAGAGGTCATAATAGTTCTAATGAGCTAACACATTTTTAAGCCCTGCGACGACTAATTGAAGCATAAGTAATGAGCCCTTTAACGGTTTGTCCCCCAAAAAACCGAAGGGTTGCCGTGTCGGCCATTTAAAAGGGGGGTAAAAGGTGAAGCAAGGGTGGCTAATGCCGTTCTAGCCCGTCGTCGTCCTGTTAGCCAGTTAACATCCACGTGTTTGTACATGAATTTAATCTCGGCGCAAACAAAGTAACAAGAATTCAATTTGTCACAGTGGTTGGCCCCGCTTTGTTCGGTGTTTCTGCTCTTCCGGGGTTTGCATTACGGGTTTACTAGAGGTTTGGGGTCTGTTCTTTCCTCGGGGAAAGGCGCATAAAGCCAACCGAAGCCTGGCAACGGTAGCTCAGAGAGATAAACCCATGATCTGACTAGGAGGAGTGAGTGTGTATTATACACTGGGAGAATTTGTCGGAAAACTATAACTGATTTTATAAAATTATTATCTGATTGAAATCATTTAACTGAAGGTTATGTTCTGGTTAATATTGTATCATATTTTCAAGGCTTTGTCTGGATACCCCTCCTAAGATATCCCATTTTTCGGCCAGTGTCGTTGAGTTAAATTGCTTTTAAGATAACATTATTATCTGATTGAAATAATTTAACTTAACGTTATGTTGCGGTTAATATTGTATTATATTTTCGAGGCTTTGTCTGGATACCCCTCCTAAGATACCCCATTTTTTCTGCCAGTGCATTGGCTGAGCATCGAAACGCGTGGGAGGTGGTGTAAATATTTGCATTTCGCTTGTTTTTCGGGGGTGTTGCGTTAGCCAAAGCCAAAAGCCTCCGGGGACTTGTTAATGCAAACAATGCGCATTTGATATTGAAAGCATAAGTACAAGGAGATGGAGGCAGAATCAGGTAATCAGGAGGGGGGAGCAGCTACAGCTACAGCTACAGTCTGTGTCCTTCTGTCGTTCGTTCTTTCGGGGGTAGTTTTCTGCCCAAGGGGGCCGAAAGGGGCTACTACATAATATAAGGGAGTCTGAGTCTGGCAAAGCTCCGCTCCGTTTGCAACCGCACGAACTCCAACGCAGGCCTGCATTAATGTGTATTTCCGGGGGAGCAATGGGTGCTACGGGGAGTACGTACTGAGCGGAAGTCGATTTATGTTTTGTGTACCAAGCACACGCTGTACCACCCACATCCCGTCCCCCTTGCACACAAAAAAAAAATTTACAAGAATAAAAAAAAAATATTTTTACATAGATAAATTTCGACCCAAGAATAGCTAGTTCCACAATTTTAAAATATCTAAGGATAAGATTCTTGAAATAGTTAATTCGTATAAACACGAAATTCGAATATTTTCGCGCAGTGTCAGTCTGCCGCTCGAGTTGGTGACAACTTTTCGGTTTTTGGTCTAGTAAATGTTGTGTGCGCCACACAGCTGTTGGTCTCTCCATAAACCCCTCTGGCTACAGTTACATACTCCGCCCCTGTACAAAAAAGCATTGTCATGGAAATCTCTGGACAGACCGCCTTTAAACTGTCTTTCAATGATGCGGTCTGGATATCTAATGCCTGCTTACCCTTGTTTTAATTTTGCCACCCCTGCGATATGGATAAGCATGCTGATATGCTGAGGCTGGAGCTCCCAGTCATTTAATGGCTTGGCTTACCTTATCTTCGGCTTCCTCGGCGCGTTCTTCCGCTTCAATGACGCGTTGTTCCAGCTCCGTTAGCTGAAAGTAGAAAGAAAAATGCAGAAACTTGGTTAAAACTGAAACTCGGTTGGCGCTGAAAGTTACTTAAACGGCGGAAATCATGTGAAAACAAACGAGTGCCTAAGTTTGACAGATATACAGTTTATTACCTTTGGGGGGAAAGGGAAAACTATTTAGTTCCTATCTCAAGTGTTAATTACATCGCTTCTACATGACTACACATTGGCAAAAGAGTATTGAGGCGATGCCTTTCCATGCCTTGAAAGCCAGAACAATAAACCGATTTCTCAATATATTTAAAATTACATCGTTTGTTATACCCGTTACTCGTAGAGTAAAAGGGTATACTAGATTCGTGCAAAAGTATGTAACAGGTAGAAGGAAGCGTTTCCGACCCCATAAAGTATATATATTCTTGATCAGGATCACTAGCCGAGTCGATCTAGCCATGTCCGTCTGTCCGTCTGTCCGTCTGTCCGTCTGTCTGTCTGTCCGTCTGTCCGTATGAACGCTGAGATCTCGGAAACTATAGAAGCTAGAAGATTGGCATTTTGCATGCAGATTCTAGGAATTCCTACGCAGCGCAAGTTTGTTTCAAAATGGTGCCACGCCCCCTCTAACGCCCACCATCGCTTATATACGATTTTAAAAATTTTAATATTTTGGAAAAGTAAAAATGCAGTTTTATTGTGTTTATCAATACCTATCGAAATGTAGAAGAAATTTTTCAAATCGGACCATTCGTTAAAAAGTTATGCGTGATCAACGTTTTCTATCTCTATCTCCATCTCCCTCGCACTCCCTTTACCTGAGTAACGGGTATCTGATAGTCGGGGCACCCGACTATAACGTTCCCTCTTGTTTTTAGCATGACTTTTATGTAATACATAATTTAGACTTAATCAAAAACTCCATTTTATTTCCCGTGAAAATTCCCCTAAATTTGGGAAAACCCCCTATATTTAAATTTATTTTACATTTTACTTGCTTAGCTGATACCACCACCGGTTAGCTGGTACACCAACCTAAGACTTATTGGTCTTAGCGGGAACACATACCAAACCGAAAAGATTTTCCCAGTATTTTTTGGAGTGGTGAATAGCGAAAAAAGAAGGTTCTTATGTTTTTTGGGGTTTCCTTTTTTTGTGGAGGTTTTTCCACCCGGAAAAATACCCACCCCCTTCCTTCGATCCACCGAATTCATTCATCAATGAATCAATCATGGGAAATGACACACAATTTGCGGTTAATAAGGATAATGTCCTCTGGCTAATACAATTCATGACGCCGGGGATCTAAATATTCGTGCACCTGTACCATTATTATAATGTTCAAAAATGGGGGCACTCGTCGCTAATCCCGCGCTTTTGAACAGCTCAATGGCCTGCCATTAACAAAGGTTAAAAACCGGCCCGCCCGGCGAAGAAGTCTTCAAGGAATTCCCTTCCAATTAATCACCCAAGTGGCCCGAAGGACCAAAGGACCTGGAGAGGAAAAGAGCTGGTTAAACGCCGCTAAGGATTCCACTTGAACCGCGCTCTCGATCTCTCGTCTATTTTGAATGCCTTAAGTGCATTAATTTCCGCTTTTTATGCCATTCAAGTGGCCACTCAGCCACGGGCGGTGGGCGATGTGCTAAGGGGGTGTGGCACACGCCCATTGATTGATGGCTGTCAAATTGTTGTGCGAAATATGAAGGAGCCGCATCTCCTGCCTTTCTCCTGTTCCACCACATCGATGATGAATGGAGTAGCGGAAGTGGCAGGAAGTTTCCGAAGCGTCAGCTTGACTTGTCGCGAATTGAGAGAAACGATGGCATGATTTTATACCTCCATTCAAGTCGGACTTAAGCTTTGGTAAGCTGTTAAGGACTTTAATTCCCGGTTTTAAGGGGGAATTAAACAGATGTGAGTGGGTTTCGAGGGTTAATTAACTTATTTGCACATACAATTTTCACAATCTATTAGAGAATGTTACAAAATCACAGCATTCGCGAGGGATATCTCGAATGTAAAGCTGTTAACAATTCGATTTTAATATCGATATAATCGATGTTTTTGAATCAGGAAAAAAAATCGACCAGTCAGCCAATTTTCATCTCTAGAAGAAAGATTAAGGAATTATAAACCATAATTCTAAATCGAAATTTAAACTTTGTGTTTCCTTCTAATTTTTTGTTTTCGATTTAAAATCGATTTAATCGATATTTTTCAGAATTAAATCAAACAGAATCGTTTCACAAAAATTGAAAGTGTTTCCTATCTAATTGATTTGATTGTTGCTTTTCCCTACCTTTTTCCACATCAAAGAGTCCGAATAGTCATCTGTAGACTAAGAAAAGGCATATGTCTGCGTCATCCCTTTTTGGACAAAAAAAAACAGCTGTTCGATGAAGGGGTATCACTTCACTATAAAACAGGTGGAACCAGCGGACAGCTCGCACAGAAGCACAGAATAAACATGTGCACCAGTCTGAGCGACTTGTTTGCCTGCATGAGGGCCCAGGGAAATTCAGATTCGGATGCGGATGCCACCAGCACTACCCATCAGCGGAATACCGCCGACGATGTGGACAATGAGGCGACCGATCCCCAGATTCAAAAGGTCGACAAATCGATGGTGCAGCAGCCACTTCCCCTGGCAAATCCTGTCCCTTCTCCTTCGACTGGCTGCATTCGTCCCCCATCGCTGGCCTCACGGGTCTCCTACGAAGCCCTGGAGCGCTACGATCAGATTTTCGGAAGTAGTGCCCACCAAGAAGCCGGGGCATCTGGTTCGGGCAGAAATATTCCCGACCAATTCTAGGCAGGAATTGTAATTACATAAATGTGGGATATGCGAGTATTTGATCTTAAACATGATCGATATTTTCGATGTTTTGAAGTTTGTTATAAAAGTTATTCAGTATTTTAAACGAAAATATGTAAGAACATTTTTTAAATTGCTAGAAAATATAGTTTGGCAATTACTATTTCTCAAAAACATATACATTTATTAAACCAATTAAATAATGGCCTTTTTATTTGACTTTGCCGCGCTCAAAAGATATGTCTGGCCTTTACTGATTATGAAAACTTTAACATTTTGCTGTGGGGGTGAGATTGTACAAACCTACAAACATATATTGTGCGGCAAAAGTTGGTCAAACAAATGGATTATACGAAAAGCTGGGAAGGCAGAAAGTTGTGAGCGAGTTGCGTGCGTGAAAAGATTGCCTAGGTTTTCCGGATTTCCCCTGCCACATCTACGCATTCACCTGTTTAATCAGGGGCGTTGTTTTGGCCTGCCAATTGGCGAGTTAATTGGAAGGAAACGGAACAACCACATTTGCCATTAATTGCTGGGGGCGTGGCAAGTAGGGGGCTTACTGTTTCTCAGACACTTCAACTTCAGACTTTAACAAACAAGTTTTACAAATTTGCCACACACAACACAGTTGTAGTCGCAGAATCACACGGAAAATGTAATTTCGCCGCCACGAATGCAATTCCCGCTAACAAATGGCTCACAATGGGTGCAGCGAGCCCCCGAAGCCCCTCCTCCAACTGCTCCACCTCCTCTACCGCCGCTTGTGCCAACGAAGGAGGTGACTTTGGCCATTAGTCGGTTTAGGTGTCGTTTGCATCGCGCTCTGCTCTGCAAAGTTTCCAGCAAATGTCGCACTAAAAGTTGTCTTTCTCTCGATTGCAATATAGATGTATATATATATAAAGGAGAATAGGAGGATAGTCCGCAGATCTTGATGGGTAGCAAATGGCTGCGGTTAAGAACGTAAAAGGGTTCTGTTCCGTCTGTTCACCTTTTCACCGATTGGGAATTGCTGTGGCCTAAATGAGTTTTCATTGTTTTTTGTATCCCAGTTTATTGACACATTTTACACCTCGAGGAAAAGTTCAAACTCACAACAGCTTGAAAAAATATCGAAATTTCGATATTTTTCCAACATTTTATTTTAAACATAATTAAAATAATTTTTGTAGATTTAACCTTTTGTTTCTGAAAAACATTGATATTATCGATATGATACTGTAGAAATATCGTAAATATCGGTAATTTTTAAGCTCTATAGAGCTCATTCACCAAACTAAGAAACAAAAGTTTTACCCGTCGTATACGTAATATAATAAGACATGTTTATTATTTATTAGTTTGCTAGCATTTTCACTGTTTATTTAATTTCATAGCATTTCATAGCATTTCTTACACCACACGCTTAAGTAATTTAATATTATATATCACAAAAATGATAAATGCAAACTTTTATGGCTTAATGTATTTAGTTTTGACATGTGATATGCACAAACCAAGTAATCCAATAACAATTTAACCTATTGTAACACAGCCTTTATTCGACTTTGTAAATCCTTTCCATCGATGACTTGTGGATTTGTTATTACGCCCATTTTTATTGGCTTTCCACTCATATGTTTGTTGTTGTCTCCTCATTTGCTTTTTGTTTTGATTGCAAAAAGTTAATTAAAAATTTGTTGTAATTGAATTTTATTGCATTGTTTGTTTGCATTTTTGTTCAGCTTTTTTTTTTGTTTTGTTTCATTTTTTTCCAGCTGTGCTTTGCTTTGTTTGAGTTTTGTTGTTCAGGTTTTTATATTTGTTGTCTGGCCATTATGCCATTTGTTGTCATTTAGTTTTTGCCTTTGGCAGTAATTGGATTATGGCAAAAAAGGAGTTTTAATTAAACCAAACGAAGCGGAATGGTTTGGTTTGGTTCGGTTTGAATCAAATGATGAGTTCCGGCAGTCGGGGATCATCGAAGCCATCATCATCGAAGAAGCATTCCACCTGTTCGGTAGCCCAGGGATTGCGGATTATTTCAAAGGTCAGGGGCGGCGGTGGAGGGAGTTGCACCTTCACCTTCACAGTTTTCACAGACTTTTCTTCTTCGATCGGGGGAGTTGAGGGAAACTCCATCATGCAATCGCCACCGAAGCGTCGGCAAGCGAAGAAATCCCACAAAAATCCAAGAAACATATCCCCACCACTCGACTGATTCCGCAGCACTGGCAATATCAAGGGGTTTTTTTCAGATACTATCCACCCACCCAGTTGCTATCCACAAGTCCCCACAATCCACAGCTGCACAGCTGCGTCCACAGCAGAATTCGCAAATGGCGGATGGATTATCAATAGCCCCCCTTTCCCATTCCCCACCGCCTCTGGGTAATCCCATCATCATCATCATCGTAATCATCGGTGTAAAAAGCAAATGACAAAATTAATTAAAATTAAAATTAAATGTCGCTTGCGCTGGTTAAGGAATCATGCGATCATGCATTATGCATAATACATTATATCATATTCACTGCATCGGCATTACGTAATCCACTGTCCATATACACAGTGTGTGCATTTATGTACTTATGCATTTATGCTTTTGTTTCTGTATAGAATGCACATTATAATTACATTTATGCGCGGCCATCAAATTCAATGGGGCTAGAACATTTGCATAACGAATGCAGGGCCCCCTTTTTCCACGCCCCTGCCCCCGTCGCTCGTTAAAGAACAGTAAAGATGCAAGAACGTTTTAAATACTCTCGCTGGGGATTTCGAATAAGAGGTATTTAATATCGGATACGAACCAGAAAAATTATATTTGGTAGGTATATTTTATATTATGAATTCTTCACAACGGCAATACAAAAGTTGTTGGGCGCTAGTTTGATTTACTCTCTAGATCCCTAGACATCCAGATATTCTTTGGATTTTTTAATATACTCAGTAGAGTGTATAAATGTGGATCCAAAATAAAAGGTTTGACGTAAATGCATACACACATGGCAAATGGTGCGTGGCACGTTGGATCAATTAATTTTTTTTTTGCTTTGTCTCTCTCTAGCCGCATATCGCCGTCCTGCTCGCTTGCTGTCCCGGCTTAACGGTCAATTTAATTACGGCAAGAAGAAGAGATTAAATGCGAATAAGAGAGTGAGACAGAGTCAGGAGGGAGAGAAAGGGAAAAGAGTATGCACCCTATGCGATGACAAAAACAATTTGCAATCCCTTAATCACACTCACTCACTCACACACTTACGCGCTGTCTCTTTCCAATGTCACTCTCTCCATCTCTGTTTATCCTGCGCTCTGTGATTTTAATTATGCTTAACAAGCTGAAGAAGAAGCAGCAGCAGCAGCTGCAGTTGCAGCTGAGGAAGACTAATGAAGTCCATCGCCATGAAGTTCCACAAGTCTTTTGGGCGGAATTTCACTCAGCATTTTCCACTTTATGGTTTCCATTTGTTAATATTAAGTTGGTTGCTTAATTAAAAATAATACGATGTCAAAATATGACGAATTAAAGGTACTTGAATGCCTAGGTACACTGCAAACCTGAGTTCATTCTTTTTTCCCTCATTCCTTAGGCTTTAAGGATCCACTTCTGACTTTTGTAGGAACACGGGGCATTGTTTATCTGCTCTTTTTGCTGTTACCCTTGTTAGTTTTTGTCTTCGTTTTAACTATCTTTATTGGCATTGTCTTTGGTTTTTAAACGTCAGGTCCCCTTTTGTTTCTTGATTCTCAGTCTAAAAACAAGAGAGATACCCGTTACTCAGCTAAAGGAAGTGCGAGGGAGATGTAGAGATGGAGTCCTCAATCTTACTGGCTCCACCTAGCAGCCATTTCATTTTTACCTCATAACTTTTTAATGAATTGTCCGATTTTAAAAATTTCTTTTCTATTTCGATAGCACAACAAAAAGGCATTTAAACTTTTTAAGGAGAAAAGAGATTTCTGAGATGCTTTTCAAAATAGTTAGACCTAGCACATTTTTGAATTATTGAACTCTATGGTATGTACAATGTACATATGACCTAAGTACCCAACAATGGCCCTGCTTAAATTTATTGTTTCAACTTGGCTCTTGCTCTCTGCTCTTTTGCATTGTGCATAATTAAGAGATAGTAACTGGTGCGTGCTAAGCGTGTATCTCCGTCCACTTTTCCACTTCCCGAGCTCTCTTCTGGGTGACTCGCTTAATGAATCTCCATATTAATTGCCAGGCATTAAGCTTTAAAAAGTGTGCGTTGACCCCCTTAGCGAGCGCAGATAAAGCTTTTTAAAACAAGTAACTTGTGCGAAAAAGTTTGGAGGGCGAGCAAAAAAAAATAGAGAAAGCGGGCCAAATTCTACAAATGCTACTGCCAAATTCATGTCAATTGCATGAAGGCCAGGCCCATACGCACCGTGGTCCCAGGGCTCTTCATTTCCTTTTGCGCTTTCTCTTTCTATTTTTATTCTTTTTTTTTTGGCTTTGGGTCAAGTGGAAAGAACAACAAGCACGACAAGAATAACCACAACATGAAAAAGTAGGTTAACATGGGTTAAGGTGTGTCATTAACTTGCCACAAACACACATGGGAGGCGAAGGCCTTGCGGCAGTGGCACTGCGCCCCTTTCCCTCTGCACATTTTCATTGCCTGTTTAATCTTTCCTTCACATGCATGCACTGAAAAAAAAAACTGTATTAATCCACGGAGGGACTTGGGGGATATATCCCTCTTCTCAAATGAAAATGAAACGAAATTTTGTATTCAAAAAGTATGCAACAATAAATTTGTTCATAAAAACCCCGTTCAAAAACAAATCTTGGGTACGCCACTGGTATAATCGGATAACAAACGAAATGTCAAGATAAATTTGGATTATTTGGTATTGATATTGATGCTTAATATTGAAAATAGGTAAGTTTAAGAAGTCATGTTTTTGTGGATTTACTTTCTACCACTTCTTTCAGATAGATACTATTGTAGGTATGTATATTTTGTGTGTGTAGAATGTACAACAACCCTAACAAACCGCCTTTGTAAACTTGCCTTTGCAAGATACAGCCTGCGGAGTCATTAAAGGGATATTTCACCACTGCCGGCGGCGGCTGCTCATTACGGATAATGTGCCAAGGGCGGATGTTGCACCTGCACCTGCAGCAGCATCCCCACCTGGCTGAACTAATTAGCAGCTGCCTAGCTAGGCAGCAAAGTCGAAGGCGGCTTAAAGCGGCTGCAATGCCACCGGCAGCAGTGTTCCTGTTCGGGCGCCATCTAAATTGACACAAATTGGCATGAGGCAAGTACATCAGGGCAATCAGATTAGACGATGTCGTCGTCGCATCATGTGCGATGTGCTTTTCCCAGTGCTTCCCTTGTTTCCTTTCCCTCCACTGACTTGGTTTTTCCGCTCCAGAATGAAAGCAGAACGGAAGCAGAAACAGAAGCAAAAGCAGCCACGCAACGTTTTTGCTGCTTTCAATCATGACGCACGGATTAGGACTCAGGTTAAAGATTAACAATGCCAAACAGGAGCGACAGACAGGACAGGACAGAAAGGACGGGATCCAAAAGGGATGCTCAGCTAGTTAGACAATAGACGTTTGCTCACGTCACGCCCACTATTAGTTAGAACGCTCTCCTGATGGATGGAATGGATTGGATGGGATACGACCATGAAGTGGAAGGAACCATAAGATGAGATAAGCCGATTGCGAACGGGAGTGCACCGAGGGCAACGCAGAAACAAGATCAAAGGGTAGAATAACTTAAAGGGGGCGAAGCGAGCTCTAAAGCTAAAACTTTAAGGTTTTTAAAATAAATATAATGCAGACACCCGAGATGCAAGTTAAGCAAGCAGTATGTCGACTGACTCAACTGCTTGCATTTACTCACTATTATTTACTCATAACTTTTTAATAAATGCTTCAATTTAAATTTTTTTCTACATTTTGATTGCTATTAATGAACACAACCAAATGGAATTAACACTTTTACAAAATCTGTAATGAGGCAAGATGTTTTTTAAGGCAAAGATAAATAAATGTCTGGCACATCTTTCCCCTTTTAAATAAAATCCCGGGACAATAAACACCTCCCAAGTGGAGTGCAAAAAGAGTGTAAAGATTTTGATGATGAACGCACTCGAAAGGCATTTGGCATAAAAAGAAGAAAAAACACGAAGAACGACTATGGCGAGATATCCCAAAGCTATTAGCAGTTGATAGCGTCTCAAGGAGTACAACGAACCAACCAACAGAAACCCAACTCAGTTTATCCCGAAAGCGGCTCAAGATAAGGACAACAAAGACAGCCGAGGAATAACAATTAGTGCATACTTTTAGGCGCAAGGAGAAAATAAAAGCCAAGAGCAAAAACACAAAGAAAAGAAGCGAAAAAGAGCAGAAAAAAGCAGGAGTCCGCGCAATAATCACAGCCAACTGCTGCATATTTATAGGCGCAATCAACTTAATTGCGCCAGATAACACAACAAAGGACTTGGACCACCTTCTCCATACTAATTAACTTAATTGTGGGCAGTTAGACGAGTCCTTGAGTCCTTGTGCAAGTAATTGCCACTCAAAAGTTCAATGCATTCAAGACGAATGCGAAGTATCCATCTACATTCCCCGGTTCTCCTCAAGGTTCTTGCAGTTTCTTCAAAATAATATTTGGCTTGCTCCTTGCAAACTCCTAGCTGCCCACTCGAAGGAATATTATGCAGAAAACAACTTGAGCTCAGTTCATGATGATTTTCACTTGAAAGTTGACCGCGAAATACACTGAGAAAAAGGTTACAAAAAGGAACCCGAAATGTCGAAAATGTCAAAACCCAGTGTGACCTTGCCATGCAGTGGAATTTGGAAGGATGGACTTTAAAATGTATTTTAAAGCTCTTAAAAGAAATTTGATTACTACTTTACTTTTACTTTTCATCCATATAAAGTTAGCAAAGCTATTACTTGACTGTTTTCTTTTAGTGTCTCAAATTAGCAAACCGTATTAATGAGAAAGAAGAAGGAGTCTGGTAAAGCTCTTAACAAATCTCTTAATGCAGGCCAAATCCAGTCGGAGTATTTCCATTTCAATTTCAATTTTCAGTTGGTTCCTTTTCGGTTGATGTACTATAGTATGTTCTCCTCCTGATCCACGACCCCAATCTCAATGCATTCTATTCTAGAAGTGCTCCTGCTGCCCACTTTTCAT